CGTATCTTTTTCTGAAGCGGTTTCTATGCTTTGTAAAATTTGTGTAAGTGATAGTTTACAGCTATTTACCCTCAGTATTCTTCCTTAACAATCAGATAAAAGCAGCACATTCTCATTGCTAGGATCACAAGTGTATATCTTTTTGTGCATAGTTTTCCAAGCGTGGAGTAGTTCAAGAGGTTTTTCTTTCTTGTTTAGAAGGATGACACTGACAAGATTACACATTAAAATGGCATAGAGGCAAGTAGTACTTCTTTGAAGTGGACTGCTTGGGGGAAAAAAGTATTAATGATCCTGTTTGAACACCAACTTTAAAAATGAGGGGAAAAAATCACATTTAATGAAATTGTTATGTAAGCATTATTATTCAAAACCCCTAAGTTCAAATGTAAGTGTAACATTACTGTAGTATTAATAGCTGGTCTGTACATTCTGTGAATTTAAGCATCTCAAATACATCAAAAGGGAAAGGCAGATACACTGATCCAATTTTTACTTAAAAATTCTCTTCCCCTATCTACATCCGGTAACCAAATGGCATCTTTTCAGACAGTATTGCAATACATGATAAATGTCTACATTGGATTCATGAATGTTTTTAAAAATGATTTGTTTATCCTATTTGTAGTTTGGACTGGGTACATGAACCTGACTTTTCTGATAATGATAATGTCCTTTTATTGCAAATAAAGCTTAATCAGCTTTTATTCCTATACAGTTTTATTCGCTTCAGAAAGTGAGTAGCATCCATGTGCTTATCATTTAGAGAAATAGTCTCAGCAGTTTCTCTTGAGGTTTTACTGACTAGAAAAGGAGTTTTATAAAAGGCTCTGGACTTTGAGGCAAAACAATTGGCATTGTCTATTATGCCTGGATAAATGTTTGTACTTTATAACAGTTTCCTAGCATTCTCTTTTTAAACAATGCCTAGTCTTAAAATCAACATTGCACTCAATGATGCTTCTATTTTTGTTTTCCTTGATCAGTACCAGGGGAAGAGAATATAATGGGCCCTTCAGAAAGACTTTTCAGGGTGACATGGAACTCAAGGGAAAGCTAATCATCTGATTCCAAGGCAGTTTAAATTCTTGCTACCCAGTCCACTTCTGTAAACAATCGGTGTCTGATGAGTGCCCAAAGGGCCCAAACATTGACTGCACATTGCTGCTTCGTTTCCAAGAATAAAGCAGTACACACGTACAAAGCATGTGAGACAAGAACTAGCCCATCCTTTTGCCAGAGCTCAGATGAAAAAAAAAAAATGAAACAGAATGTAAAACAGGTTATAGATAGGAATATGGGTACTAACTTGACTTTTTTAATGCAAGGAGATATCCAAAAGAAAAATATATACAATTGTGTTGAATAAGAATATATATTATACTTTATAGTAAAGTAGTAAAAATAGATTTCACTTAGGAACTATTGCAATAGCAGAAAAGAAACCTCAGTATAAAACTGGTTTCAGGGGGCCAGCAGGTGACATGGTGGTTAGGGGTGTTGGACTCCCATATGGTTGACTGTGGTTTGACTCTCAGGCCTGGCGGCTGTCTTTCTCACTTTCTCTCTCTCTCTTCCCCTCTTAGGTCAAATTAAAATAAATAAGATGAAGTAAAATAATTAAAAAAAAAATGAGCCTCAATTCCAAATGCAATAAGGAAAAGTGGGATTTTGTAGCCAAGGAATAGAGTAGGGTAGGAGGATCAATAAATGAAATTATGAGGGTCATATGGTAGTTCTATCTGTAGATTTTTGAGGAATCTCCAAATTGTTCTCCATAGTGGCTGGACCAATTTACATCCCCACCAGCAGTGTAAAAGAGTTCTCCTTTCACCACACCCCCACCAACACTTATCATTTTCTGTTTTTTTTGTTTTTTTTTTTAATCTTAGACATTCTGACCGGGTTTAGGTGATATCTCAATGTAGTTTTGATCTGCATTTCCCTTATGATGAGGGATGTGGAGCATTTTTTCATATGCCTTTTGGCTATTTGTATGTCATCTTCAGAGAGTGATTTTTTCAACTCCTCCGATCTTTTAATAGGGTTGATATCTTTTTTCCAAACAGCAGTTTGAGTTCCTTGTGTATTCTGCTTATCAGACCCCTATCTGATGCATAATTAATAAAAATATTTTCCCATTCAGAGAGCTGTTGATTCACACTAATTACTGTGTCTTTTGCCATGCAGAAACTTTTTAGTCTGAGTCCGGCTGAGTGAAGCAAGCCAGGTTATTAAGGAGAGACACTGTATGTCCCCACTTAATATAAACTGAGTGTCTGCACTCTATAACTGAAACTGATTGACCTAAGGTTGTAGAAACACAAGAGATGGGGTTTAGTGCCAGAAGTGGAGTGTGTGGAGAAGAGGGACCTAAGGAAGGACATTTGGAAGAGGGATATGGAGACAGAGCATTGATGGGATGGGGAGGTGTGGTCTTATTGGTGGAAGATATTCTGATCAACTAGACTGGTGAGAAATGTTCACATATTGAAATGTTCACTTTGTAAGCTAAATAATATGATTGATTATATAACAAATTAAAATAAAAAAGTGAAAAAAAAGAAATTATGAGGAAATATCACAGGTAAGGGTGATTCTACTTCTATTTATTTATTTATTTGGAGAGGTTTTTGCTATAGGGCATGTGCGCTCACCAGAAAGACAGAGAGAGACCGAGAGACAGAAAGCAAGAAATCACCCCTCTGGGTGGATGGCCACACCACAATCCCTTCTACTCCAATCTCCTCTTGGAATCTTGGGCACGCACGCAAACACGCCCAGTGTGAGTTTAAGCCACAAGGTCCAGGATTTGAACTGTGATCAACTACATGAGAGTCTAGAGACACAGACATTACACTAACTGCTGGTCTCCTGCTTATTTATTTTTTAAGAGAGATTTTTTTTGCTATAGGGCACAAGTGCTAATCAGAGAGACAGAAAGGAAGAAATCACCCTTTGGGAGGAGGGATGGCCATGTCACAATCCCTTCTCCTCCATTCTTTCAGGATTTGGGGCACACATGCTCAGTGTGTATTTTAAGTCACCAGGTCTGGAACTTGAGCAGTGATCAACTACCTGGGAGTCCAAATATGTAACCATTATGCCATCCACTGATCCCAGGGGCATTCTGCTTAAACTGACCTAAGAAGATTCTTGTTGAAGCAGACCAGGGTGATCAGATAGCAGCAACAGGGATGCTGGCTTACTGACTTATTCCACTATTGCATTAGTAACAGAAATACTGAGATTGGGTGATTTATACAGAAATAGGGGTTTACTGACTCATGACTGGAAAATCCAAAGGCATAAGGTTATCATTAAATTGGCAAACAGAGGCTGACATGATGGCGGGCATGTGAAGAGAGAGGCTGAAGCCTTTTTTTGTTTTTTAGTAAGAACCAGCTCTTGGAGAACTAACTTCTCTTAAGACCTACAACTCACTGGATCAAGAGATATAACATTAATCTGTTCATGAGAGTGATACCTCCATGATGTGATCACCATGATCCAAATTGCCACCCACTAGGCTTTACGACCTTCCAACAGCAAATTCCAAACTATAAAATTTTGGGGGACAAAGCATTATCCAAATCTTAACATTGACTTAGGACAATTTTTGTTGAAATTAGGTGATAGAGGTTCAAAATAACAAACACTGAAGCTCAAGACTTAGAAGGCTTAGAAAAGCCCTACTAGAGCCAGCTGGTGCTATGGTTATTATGGTGGCTGGATCCCACGTCGTTGACTGTGGGGTTCAAATCACATACCTGGCAGCCTGAAAAAAGGCAAAAACATTCTGAGGTCATGTGCATGTGTCTGACAGGAAGGAGAAATAGAGGAGGAGGAATGGTAGTGTGATCATGCTCTGCAATGTGATTATGCTCTGCAATGGGTACTTTCTCTCTCCTTTCTCCCAGCACACGTCCCCTCTGGCAAATTATAAAAACAGAAAAGCCAAACTAGAGTCACATCAAGGAAAGAATCTTAGTTAGGAAGCATCAGAAATAAAATGCATGGTCCCTTAAAAGCATGGTGACTTGGAGGCTGAGAACTTCTCAAAAAAAGTAATTTATGCAGTCTAATTTTCTTATCTAAGTATTCCTTAATGTTTAAAAACACCTGCGTTTGTTGTTTTTTCAGTGATACAACATTTCAAAAGAGAATTACCAGTTTCATAGATTCCTTGCCCTTGAACCAAAATGAAATCCTTTAACAAAAAGCCTTTTGGTAGTGAATCACTAAGAGTGAATAGCTCAAGGCCTTGTTTAAAGAACCTTAATAATACCAAAAAGCAGAAGAGGATATGAAAGGAAAGAAAATCTGGACTAAGTATGGTCTAAAAAATTAATTTAAGACACTCTTTTTCCTCTTGCTTTTTCCAACAAAGCAATAACAGTTGGGAGTCTTTCACATGGAATTGGCTTCAAGCAGTCTGTGAAACATGGAGAGTGTAGTGAAAGAGAATTTAAACTCGAATTGCCTCAAAAACCTCTCACAGTACCATCCTTAATGACACAAATAACATACATTAATGACAGAATTAAGAAAGTTGAAGGAAAGAAATGGAATCTCTCATAGATACCCAGTCTCAGAACTGGAAATGTATGTTAGATGATGAGATCTGCATATTTCACCTCATCTTCCAAGGGACTGTTGAATATAGTGTGGTAAAAGGCAAACCTTAACGACAAAGTCTCTATTAAAATCCTCATTCTTTAAATTACATTTTTTCACTTTATATTAAAAGATTAAACTTCTTATAGTACTAAAAGCTAAGTGCTATATAAATATGCAAATATGGTTACAAATAAATAAAAGCATGCAATATAGTCATACTCCTAAGTGTACCTTCATACATCATATATGTATGTATGTATACACACATATATATCTATGTATACATGATAGTACAATAACACATTATTACATAGATATATACTATATGGCACATTTATAATAATGTGTATATAATAATATAGATTTGATATATAATATAATTATTTAAACATAATGTGCACATATATATTATGGATGTATTATATGTAACATATTTATATATAGCGTATATAAACTTATTTTTCCATTAGCAATAATCGCGCCTCAGATAAACCTCATTGGCTACGATACTGCCACTGTGCAAAGCTAAAACTTATTTTTTATATATTTTTAAGAATTATTTATTGGGACCAGCAGATGGCATAATGGTTGTTGTATTATTGGACTCCCACATAGTTGATCATGATTCAAGTCGTAGACCCAGAGGTTTGAGACTTATGCCAGGCACGTGCATGCTCAAGATCCTGAGTGGAAAATGGAGGAGAAGTGACTGTGGTGTATCCCACTTAGGGGGGTGATTTCTTGCTTTCTGTCTCTCTGTCTCTGTCTCTCCAGAGAGTGCATGACCCTATAGCAAAAGAATGATTTATTTAACTTTATTCATCATCATGATTATTATATTTTAGTTTGCTATAGGGCACATCCACTCACCAGAGAGAGACAGAGGAAGAGAGAGAGAAAGCAAGAAAGCAAGCTGCCAGGTCTGGGACTTACACCATTGTCAACCATGTGAGAGACTAGTGCCTCAGCCACTATAGGCTACCTTCTAGCCCCTGTACATATATATTTATATTTTTACCAACATATGACAACTTCTTTCAGTTTAAGATATGCCAAATGACTTTTTATTATAATGGCATGAAATATGAGGCAGAAAAACTGAGACAGTCATGAAAATTCATGATGCAACCATTAACATTAATAGTCAAAATCAGAGTTAAGATGTCAAGAGCCTCAAGCTGCAAATCCACATATATCATCTTCCTTGATTAATTTTTGGACCTGTTATACACCACAATTTTGTTCTATTAATAGATCTAATTATTTTCCTTTGCTTATATCTGAAGGTAGTATAAAACAATCATAAGAAGCTGAAGTTTAGCATGGAACAGGGATTATGCTATCATATAATGAAATGTCAATAGGTTTTGCAATTTTCTAATTACTCAATATCTCCAAAATTCCCAGTAATAACAATAGCAAACACATACAGCACAGTCATTGTTTCGTAGTGTTTCATACCTTATATTAACTTATTACTCAAATCAGAAAGGCTAAATTATAACTTTACCTTTTTAGACTTATTTGGCTGACTCTCATAATTAAACTGACAAAAAACATATCGACAGGAGAAAAAGCCCACAAATTTATGTACTTATAAGTTTTATAAGATACAGGGGACCCTGTGAGAAAAAGAAGCCCCAAAGGAGTGGTAACATTATTTTTGGGAGAGGTTTTTGCTATAGGGCGTGTGTGCTCACTAGACAGAGAGAGACAGAGAGACAGAAAGCGAGAAATTACCCCCCAGGGGGGATGGCCACGCCACAATCCCTTCTCCTCCATTCTCCTCTCGGGATCTTGAGCATGCATGCACACGTGCCTGGCATGAGTTTTAAGCCACTGGGTCCAGGACGCGAACCGCAGTCGACTACATGGGAGTCCAGAGACATAACCATTACGCTAACTGCTGATCCCAACATTTTTTTTATTTTTATTTTTTTAGGTTTTTGTGCTCACTGGGGAAAGAAAGAAGGAAAGCAAAAAGTCATTCTCTTGGGGAAGGAGAGGGTGAAATGGCCACAACTTTTCTTCTTGGGATTTTAAGCATGTAAGTACACGTGGCAGGCGTGATTCTCAAGCTGGAAGATCTGGGGCTCCAACCATGGTCAGCCATGTTGGAGAACAGTGCCCTAACCACCATGCCACCTGCTGGTTCCTCTAAACATTTTTATACTAGTTCCAGCAAAGAGAGCCAATTACAGAAAAGTTACTAAAATATGTGGGTAGGCTATAGAAAGGTACAAATTGTTTTAACAAGATCTATTTTTAAAGTATTCTCTTCTCATCCTTGATAATAAGAATGTTACTTTCTTCTTGGTACAGTGAAGACGTTTTTTTAATAATGAGATTTTATCTCCTGCTTTTAGGAAGGAAAGAGGAAAAGAAGTGGTCAGAGTGCCCATCATGCACCTCTTTTTATATTTGTTCATTTCAAGTACCTTTAACTCAAAATAATACTCATGCCAAAGTGGCATATTTTGGAGTGGTGTATTTTGTCACACTTAACTCACTATAATCTATGACATCTTATAGTTGACACCAGTAATTATACTTTTCTCTCTTTCCAAACTTGATTTGTGCCTGTTAGGAGACAGTGTAGTGTGGTACAGTTTCTTATTACCAGGACAAACAATGCTTGGATACTCTTTCTTTTTCTTATTCTCCTTTTAAATCAATAAGCCAAAACATATTAGATATAAACTTTTTTAAAAACTACTAATGGATATATACACTCACGTGAGAGAAAGAAAAAGAGGTAGAAAGCATCCACCAATTGAAACACGATCATGCTGCAATCCCTTTTCCTCTATTTCTTCATCTTGTCAGGATTTGGGGCACAAAGGTCCATGGCCTGACATGTTTTTGAGGTGCTGGAGCCAGGATTTGAACTGCAGTTAACTATGTGGGGTCCAGCTCCCTTAACTATTAGACTGTAGAACTGGCCCCCGATATAAACTTTGTGGTTACAGATCTCCTTGCTCTTTTGTCCTAGAAAAAATGACTTCCTTTCTATTTCTTTAAGTCATCCAGCAGCCTCAGGGTTTCTACTTGAACTGTTCCTTGCCTGGATTCCCAGATAACATCAAGGCTGCTTTGCTTAATTAACCTACTCAGTTCATGGATTAAATATCACCTTCTTAGTGAGATTGTCATCAACTTCTTAGTGACATCTTCATTAACTACTCTATTTGATTTTATTATTTTATCAATTTTATTTTATTTGTAGAGATTTTTGTCTTAGGGCGTAGGTGCTCACTGGAGAGAGAGACAGAGACAGTGAGAGGGAAAATGAGAAATGACCCCGCCCCCCCCGGGAGGATTGTCATGCTACAGTCCCTTCACCTTCTTTCTCCTCAGGATTTTGGGCATACACACACACACACACACACACACACACACACACAGTCACAAATTCGATGTAACCACTATACCATTTACTGGCCCCACCCTACTTGTTTTTAAAATGTAACCCTTGAATGTTCTTGTCTCTTCCCTAAACCCTATTTTACTTTATAAATTGCTACAACTATCTCACATTCTATGATTTTTAAAAATTTTTTTTGTTTTAGCTTGCTACAGGACTTGCGTGATCCCTAGAGAGAGACAGAGAGGTAAAGATACAGTGAGAAATCACACCCTGGGGCAATGGCTATGCCATAATCCTTTCTACTTCACTTTCTTCTTGGGATTTTGGGTACCCACGCACATAGGCCCGGTGTGTTTTTCAAGTCGGCAGGTCTAGAACAAATCCTGGACTTCAATGGTAGCTATTCATATTTATTAAAACAGAATTCTCAAACTCTTAAAAATATATCTGCAAACTCTTTAGGAGAAGCACTGGCATGAAACTTAACTGCTTGGACTTCAGGTTTTACAAACTTTGTACACATCTTGACTCTGACACTAGCTCTGTAATATCTGGCCGTTTATCAAACCTCTCCAAGCTTTGATTTCCTCCGTAGACCAGATATGAAAATTTCACATGATTACTAGGAGGATGAAATAAAGCAAATTATTTGACTATGATATTTATTATTTCATTATAGTATAATATTTAGCTTTTTTTTTTTTTCCAGAAAGGCTCATTATGATCCTCTTGCCTCAGCCATCCAGCTGACACTACAGCTGAAAGTCAATATGCCCAGCCTTTAGGTTGGACTGTGATTCAAAACTCAGCCTCCCATGTAGTCTCATGCAGAGTTTAGCAGCTTGGCAGTGCAAGCATACCACTGAGCTGGGCTGATTCTTTTAGTATTTTTTCCCTCTTTTTTTACAGATGAAATTTTAGGTATTTATTGTGTATGATATGATGCATGATGTTTTGAAGTATATATACATTTGGAAATGGTTAAATTTACTAGTTAATATGTCTCACAGAGTTTTCATGTTTGTGGTTAGAACACTTGACATCCATTCTCTCAGTATTTTTTTTTTTCTTTTTAAGACTTTTGTCATAGATCTCATGTGCTCACTGGAGAAAGAAAGTGACAGAGATAGGGAAAGGTTTAGTGTTTTGTATAAATATATGTCTACATACATTTTTTGCCATAGATATAATTTATTTTATACCATATAATTTTATATTGACTTGGAAACTCCCTTGAACGAGCCCTAGATCTTGAGAAATGGTTTGAGGTGGAAGATTATCTTTTTCTGTATTTTGATTTTTTATTAGTAAATCATGCCAATTGTCAGCATATTTCACACAAAGTTATTAAGAACAAACAATACATCATCACTCAGTGTATAAAAGAACTCAATCAAACAGACATTTCACCAGAATGTTTTATGAAATAGCGAACACTTAAGTTATTCCTCTAGAATTCATGAAGTAATTAGCTTAGGTTTATTACCTAGACAAAAATAGGATTTTTAATTTCAACTTTAGTCTTTTTCTGAAGCAAAGTGTGGCCAATTTTGTGAGTTGTTTCCCTCATCTCAGTTCAAAATGAAATGGTACAACTAATAAAATTCTTTCTCCATGTCCTTTTTTCACCACTGGATCTTTCTTTTCTATTTTATTTATTTTTTTAATGCACGAGTTTCTGAAATGTGCCTCTCATTTATTTGTTATTGTTTCTAAATAAGCCTTTCTATCACTTCAGTTGCCCTTTAATCCTATTTCCAGGCAGAGAGTTGCTCAATTAGTTCAGCCCTCCCATACAAAATTTATTGTACAATCATGTGGTAGGCACTGCACTGTGTACAGGAGCAGCAAAGAAGAAAGATAATAAATTTATATATTTTTTAAAAAAACAAATTTGCTCTATGTAACATTCTCCAGAGGGAGACAAAGAGAGAGAGGTAAAATGAAAAAACATCTTCTGTGGGAAATGGTCATGCAGCAATCTCTTCTCAGTCTCTTCCTCTTTTGGGGATTTTGGGCATGCATGCACATGTGCCTGGCATGTTTTTCAAACTTCTAGGCCGGGAACCTGAACCACACAGTCAGCAGTCAGCCATGTGGCATCTAACTACCTTAACCATCATGATACTGAATATTTATTGAATCTTTATTCCTCTTAGG